CACAGAAAAGACTCATTTTGAAATCCCTCATATTCCTTGGCCCTTTATTACTGCCAAACAAGACAGGTTGGAAAAAAAGAGCACCTGAGACTGTGACAAAAAATAATAATTAAAAAAAAAAAAAAGCAAAAGCCACAGTCCTGGCCTGGCTGTATTCTTAAAGATAACTATCATGTCAAACTATGGTGACCACCTTAGCTGTCTTTTTCCCCCCAATGGCTCTTTTGAAGAGAGCAGTATTCATTAGGATGCAGAAATGCCACCTTTGCAAATACTTCATTGTGGCCATACTTCTTGTATAGTAATCAACAGGGCTAATGACAAGCAAATTTTGATAAGCCCAAAAGCAGCAGTTCATGCAAAGATGGGACACTTCATTGCTTTCGTTAAGGTTATGTTTTGTCTGGCATACTATTCTCGAATAATGAAGATAGAAATCTGTTGTGATAGATGTACAATGAGGTGGATAAACCATCACCTTTAAAGTGATATCCACAGAGGAACGGTGAGTAGGGTAGGCTCATGTTCTATGGTGTAAAGCTGACACTAACTGTTGCCAAAGTGAATTCTACATTACTTTCTCCATTTCTGTCAGTTCACAGAATTCTCATCAAGTTTTTCTTTTTAGGGCTCTTTTCTTCTCTCAACAGGAGAAATGCTGTCTGGCAAAGTGATGAACTGTTGCCTGATGGACCTTTGCACTAATGAAGTTCAAATCAAGATTATTTCTTGTGGATTGCAACATGCCAACCTGTGCTCTATTTACATTCTTGCTTGAATCAGTGTCTTGTTCCTATGGCTGCTTCCCCCAGCTAACGGGCATCCAGGGTCCCACTGAGCTCTCATAAACACTCTGCACAACTTTTACGGTAATTATCGTTTCATGCATTTGACTGCAAAATTTGGGTTTCTGTATTCCCTCCACTGCTTCATCTTAAGAGTTTGGGGACTTTCTTTGTAACAGATTGTGAGTGCAGAGCTTTAAAACTATTTGTTGACAGCATTAAGTGAAGACACCTGTCAGAAAATTAGTTAGTGTTGAGGGCACCATTGTATTTAATAATATTTTTATCTCTAGAGAAGAAAGCAGTGTTTAATCTTGTTAAGTATGATTTCTGTAGGGAATATTTCATCTAAGATTTTTGGTAGATATTACTACTTGCCTCTCAATATTTATTTTTCCCTGAGCAATTTGCATACCTCTATGTTGGGAGTGGTGAATGAATTATAGTCCTTGAACTGCCCAGAGACAGAGGCAATACCTCTCTTGGGAATTTCTCTGTGCAAAGGCACCAATTGAAGCCCAGTTGCTATGGTGATGTCCTGTTCAAAAGGGGGTTCTGCCAGCCACAGAATTTATCAATTTTTAACCTTCAGTTCAAATGCCAGCTGCTTAGGGATAGAGAGTTATGGGGGCAAGCTGGTAATTAGGATGCACAGAAGCTTGTCCTTCACGTTGAGTACTTTGAAGAAACTTTCACACAATGCATCCTTTTAATGATGTATAATAATATCCTCTTAATGATGTATGTATGATAATACATAATAATGTATAATAATACATAATAAATGAGCTGAACTGACTCATGGTCATTGCACTCCATCTGACTGTGGTGCCCACTGGGTCTCAGCTTTTTCTCTATTTGTGTGTCCATTTGTTTTTTCTAATCCCTTATTGCCCCTCCACCATTTTCCTGAATTAACCATTGTGCAGGTTGTGATATTTCTGGGCTATAATTTCCAGCTCCTTTTCAAGTTGTGAGATATAAGTAGGAGTTGTTCTTCAGGATTCTGGGATCACTAAAGGAAACTTTTAGCCTTCTAGGAGATAAATTGTTTCACCTGGGAAGCAGGTGAGATTACTGAAGACTCAGTGGGTATCATGGAGTATAAGGTAATTTTGAGGATGTTAAGATTTATTAATTAGGGTTCTCTAGAGAACAGGAGGTATGACTATAAAAGGGGGATTTATTAGATTGGCTTAAACAACCAGAATCTGGATAGTCCACAATGGCCACCTGTAGGCTGGAGAACTAGAGGAACAAGTAGCAGCTGTGCAGTCCAAGATGCTGAAGGCTCAGAACAAGAGGGATCAATGATGCTACCCCAGTCTGAGACTGAAGACTTATGGAAACCACCTGGAGAATCACCAAAAGAGTCTGCTTTGAAGGAGTGAAGGAGCTAGAGTCTGATGTCCTCTGGTGATTGCAGCAGCAATCAAGAACCCGTTCAAGAAGAATCGAGCTTTCAACTGCTGCTGCTTCCTTGACCTTTCAACTTTTCTTCCATCCAAGCCCCCAACCTATTGAATGGTGCTGCCCATGCTTAGGGTCTCTACTTCAGTTCACTATCCCTCATGCCAATTATTCCTAGACTCACTCTCAAAGACACACTCAGAAGCCTCTTAATCTTCAGCATCTTTTAATCCAATCAAGTTGACAATTCAAAATAACTATTACATCTATCTTATTGAGAACAAAATACTAGGTCTCTGATGTTCATAGACAGACATTTCTATTCTTTAAGATTATTAAAATATTTTTTCCTTACACCCTGGTTTAATTCTAGCCAACACAGAATTTCAGTGAATACTCAAAACAATGTTAAATGGCATGATATAGTTATTCAAAGTGTTAATAAGAAGTCATTGATATTTCCTGTGTGGTAATGCATGCCTGTAATCCCAGCAACTCAAGAGGCTGAGGCAAGAGGATTACAAGTTTGAGGACAGCCCCAGCAATTCAGTGAGACTCTGTTTCAAAGTCAGAATTACAATGGATTGGGGGCATACCTCAGTGATAAAACACCCCTGGGTTCAATTCCCAGTATTGAGGGGAAAAAAGAGGAATTAAAAGGGTTCACTGATACTATTGAGACTTTCTTAAAGAGCAAAACATTGCTCTTCAAGTTTTTATGCTATCCAAGCAGATTGTATCCTAACCCAAGTATGTTCTTATAGCAAAGCAACTGAGTTGTAGCCAATCTGAGTAGCTGACTCTTCAGCTGATTTCAGGATGAAGGCTGCCAAATTATGTCCCAAAAAGCTAAATTGAAGTAATCAGGTATCTCTGCATCATATCCTGCCTTTCTATTTACAAAAATAGCAATCCTTATTGTAATTTCCAGCTTCAATCTGAAATTCTGCTCAATTCCAGAAACCTTTTGTTAAGTAAACTTTGTTAAATTGAACGGTCTCACTTTTTTTTAATAGTTAAAACGCTTAAAATAAATAGAGTGGAAAAGGTGTCAGTTGTGTCATTCTTGATCCTCCTACATGGTTAATTAATCCAACAAATATTTAGATACAAAACATTTATGCTATGTACTAAAATTAAGATGACTGGCAATAGATTTGATCTCTGTCAACCTGATTTGTATTTTCTAAGCACAGTAATATATACAATAATATACAAAAAAAAAAATTCTCTTGTCCTCATGAAATTTGTATTTCATGCTCCAGTTGTGTTGGTTCAGGCAATCAGTAAATATATGGTTATAGACATAAATATATTGATCATAATTAAGTAAAATAGAGAAAACTCAAGTAGAAATAATAACCCCTACATTGCATTTTGATAAATGGCAAGAATTTAAAGACTATATATATATATATATATATAGAGAGAGAGAGAGAGAGAGAGAGAGAGAGAGAGAGAGAGACAGTCTGATTCATGGTAGACCTTCCCAAAACTATAATTTTGGTTGTTGTTTTTATTAGGATTATGGCATGGGAATAAAATAATGTGAAAGATGTGATAAAAATCTATGGAAGAGAAAACATTAGAATTTACTGATTACTCTTGTCATTTAAGGGAGGACAGAGAAATAGGATTTGAATTCTAGCCTCCAGTATATGATTAACTTAAACAAGCTAAAGTATTTTTATATATGGAAAATATGTAAAAATAATTTCAACAAAGAAAGAGAAGGCAGTCTGAAATGTGTCAGGAAAAAGTATACCTAACCATTGGAGTAACAAAAGAGCATTCATAAAATGAAACCCTGTGTACATTGCTGAATTAACATCTCTGAAGAGCTGTAATGAGAAATTTAAACAAGGTGAAAGCTGACTTAGTTACTTTCTTTAGAGGGACCCAACTACAAGCCCCTAATAATTCCATGATTTCTTATTCTCTGAAGATGCTTTTGTTGGTTCCCGGAGTAGGCCTTGGAGGAAATCCAGAAGGCAGCTTAGGGAGTGGCGACACCCAGCTGAGTCGCGATCCACTTGGTGAGTGGTCTGTCTGTGTGGGACAGGAGTACCGAACTTTGTATGCGCTATGCAAATTTCCTGAAGTCACTCCGTACTCTAACACTGCCACTCCCACTTGCCCTTAATGATTAAACATACAAAATAGAAAAAAGTAAAAATCTCTGATTACCATTTTGAAGACACTTCTTTTTCTAATGAGGAAAAACCTGAGTCATATGTGCCACGTTGTTAACAGGGTTAAGATAAAGTTCAGCCAAGTGAAGTAGGGTGAGGCTTCATTTTAGGAGGAAAGATTGTAAATAATAATCACACCTTCAGTTATTGCACAGAACAGCTAGTCAAAGAGCACTTCCCCTCTTGTGGTGAGAGGTGACCCACCCTGCAGAACTGGTGAGGCACTGAGGAGGGGGTGGGAAGGCAGCTGCAGCAGAAACTGGGTGGAGGTGGGGGTGCTGTGTCAGGCCAGAGGGTCACCATGATCTCAGATGGCTATAGAGGAAGTTTTCATCATCTCTGTAGCTGGCTGAGAAAGTTGTACTCAAGTATATATCCACATTTTATTATGTTATATGAAACCAAATCCTTTAGCTTTTTTAATGAGTGAAATATTGATATTCTGGTAACATTTTCTTGAAGAAAACAAACTATGAATCTTTTTATTTGGGGCACTGAGAAAGACACTATTAACATAAGTATTCAGAATAAAGGCACTGAGATAGAACCTTTTTTTCCTTTACCCTCCTCTTCCTTCCCCTCCCCTTCAGCCCCTCCCCCTTCTTGCCCAGGTTTATACCACAAATGTCAGAAGTCTTGATGTCCTATTTTGAAAGAGAAGTTATTTAAGAATAACCATGTTTGAAACCTGGAAATGGTTTGGGATTAAGGTCTTTCAACAGAAGATTCCTATGAAGTTTACTGGGAAACTAATGCCTAGAAAGGTAAGGTCCTTTTTCTTAGTTAAATGGAGAGACAAGGCTCAGTGTTCTTAAGGAGAGCCTTAGCTGATTCCGTGATCACCTTCATTGAGGCATCTTTAATACCCACATTCTGGTATTAAAGGCAGCGACCAATCTAGTTTGTTGAACTGGGGCAGTGGTTGGCCCAGCGTAAGAACCTGTACCTAGTGCTGCTCCAGACACTTCACCTGCATCCCTCCTTGTAGCTCCTACAATGCTCCTATTTGGTAGCTGCTGCTGTTATTTCCATTTTATGGATACAGAGACATGGTCCCGGTGCAGCTGCACTATTGGCTCAAGCTCACCTGGCTCGTAAAGAGACAGCCAGAGATCCATTTTCAGAAGCTGAGTGTATACCAGCATTATCAATTTAGGAAGAAATGGTTATTCTAGAAAAACAGTATCTTTATTTTGACATAAGAAAATGTCCACTTGTGAGAGAGCAGACATTCGACCTGAATTCTTCTTAACAACGTTTGAACTGGGAAGACATTGGTACTACAACTTCCTGGGGACTTTATTATGGCAGAGAATATTGGAATACCATTAGAGATGTGAATTTTTATTATTGAGTAAATCTAAACTAAAAGTGCTTATTGGATATAACTGGACATATTAAGTATCTGAGCAAAAGAACAAAATTTTCACGTGTTTCAACTTTTTTTTTTAACTTCTATAGTCTAGTAACCACCACTAGTAGATAATAGCAACACTGAGGAATTTTGTACTTAATATTAAAATCAGAAGAGATAACGTGTGAAACTTTTTCTTCATTGACACTTTTGTCTACATGATTAGTATTACTTCTGATAACCACCACAGTTGTGATTCCAGTGGTTCCAATTTCAATTTATAAATAAGAACCATGAATATTTGGCTAACCTATCAAATCATATGTGTGAGAGGCAAAACCAGTGTATTATTTGGAACCAGAGATTCTGGGTTGAAAATCCAATGCCATTTTTACTGCACTTCATTTTTCTAATGACTTATTTCAGAGACACAATAGGAAAGAAATTGTATAATATGGATGATGTAGAAGGATAAACTATTCTAATTTCTATTAGTCCCATTAGATCAACTGATCTCGGATGTGGGATTTTCAGTTGCTAGACTTAGAAATCCCCAGAAAACGACATGGGTGAATCATCTTTTATAAACCTGAATGTTTAGATGATTTAAAACAAAACAACTGTTGGCATTAATAGCCATGTCTATTTTTTTAATATATGAAAAGTTTAGCACGTTATTAGGTCAGTTGTGACTGTGAATAAATTAATAAATAAATGAGGTTATTTATGACTCCCATTAAAAACGGGAGGAAATAAAGACAGCAGAGTGTGAATGCTCTATTTCAACTCATTAAAAACACATAATCATAAAGCCTAGGACCATGAAGAAGGCTTGAGTGGAGGGAAGTTAGTGACCAGTGAGATCTGAAATATTGTTCAGACTCAGGTCAGATATTTCCCCCTGAGGGTTTAATGAGAGATTGATGAAGTTTAGAACAAAACACTGTTTTTTTTCCTCAGTTAAATGGAAAATATAAATGGAATTTCTATCATTTTATCAGTATGAAGTTGCAGACTAAAGCTTGCAACTTCTTCAAACTATTAATGATCAGTATCATTAATTGCAAACCTACTCTGTTCCAGACATTGTTGTAGATGTTTTACATTTAATCATCACCACACCTATGTGAAAGAGGTATTTTTGTTTAATCGGTGGGGAAACTGAGGCATCTTTGACATGGCAAAGCTGGAATGCAAACTCAAATGGTCCTAGAGTCCATGTGTTTAATTTCTATGTTGCATCCAAAGGTGTGGCAGGAAATGGGTACTTCTATTTCTTAACAACGCTCACTTTGAAATAATTTTCAACTGTATGAGAAGCAAGGCAGTAGGAAAGGAGAAGGAGGTACTGCAGGGTGAGTGGTAGAGTGTGGGAAGAAATATTGACTGGTGCATTATTAGTGGGATTCTCAGATGCTTGATTCTCCCTTTCTCCTGCGTTCTCATCAAACAGTCTTCCCTTCAATGGCAGTGTCCATACTACCTTGGTACTTGCACTGTTAACACACCCAAATAAGATATGAGGAAAAGGAAATGTCAGGTCTATACAGCAATCCCTCTTTACCCACACATCCACATGTACCGATCTCCTGAGGATATCTTTGTTTCATTCTGTACCTTATTTATTTTTTAATGGAATTATATCACAGTAATCTTTCATAATTGGATTACAAGGGCCCACGTATTATAGCAATATTTCTGCAGAAAAGTTCATTACAATTTTTAATACTCGAGATGAAATTAAGAGAATGTTCTCTGCCTTTGTGATTAGACTGAGATCTACAGGTACAAATTTTTTTCTATAGAGTGATTTTTAATTGTCAGCTTAGTAAATAGAATAAGCTTAGACTGTGGAGTCAGTTACAAACTTCAAGAGAAATATATTCATTCTAGGTCTTTTTCTGTTCAGAATATTTTATCAGGTCTTTTCTATAAGAAGGCATTATTTTGGACTTTCCCAATGAAAATATTTTCTTCATTATTTTTTAAATTTTATTCTTTAAAATTTTCATGTGTTTTAGTTAGTTATACATGACAGTAGAATGCACTTATGCACTTTGATATATCATACATAGATATAATTTCATTTTTCTGAGTATACATGTTGCAGAATCATATTGGTCATGTAGTCATATATATATATATATATACAGTAATAATGTCCATTTCATTCTACTATCTTTCCTATCCCCACATCCTTTCTTCTCCCCTCCCATCACTTCCTGCCACCTAATCTAAGGTAACGCTATTCTTCCCTAGTGTGGTAGAGTGTGGGAAGAAATATTGACTGTGAATTAGCATCTGCATATTAGAGAAAACATTCAGCCTTTGGTTTGGTGGGATTGGCTTATTTTGCTTAGCATGATATTTTCCGACTCCAACCATTTACTGGCAAAATGCCTTAATTTCACACTTCTTTAAAGCTGAGTAACATTCCACCGAGTATATATATACACCACATTTTCTTTATCCATTCATCTATTGAGGGATACCTAGTTTGGTTGCATAGTCTAGCTATCGTGAATTGAGCTGCTATAAACTTTGATGTGGCTGAGTCACTACAGTATGCTGATTTTAAGTTCTTTGGGTATGAACCAAGAAGTGGGATAACTGGGTCAAATGGTGGTTCCATTCCCAGTTTTCTGAGGAATCTCCATACTGCTTTCCATAGTGGTTGCACCAATTTGCAGTCCCACCAGCAATGTATGAGTGTGCCTTTTCCCCCACATCCTCGCCAACATTTATTGTTGCCTGTATTCTTGATGATTGCCATTTTGACAGGAGTGAGATGAAATCTTAGAGTAGTTCTGATTTGCATTTCTCTAGTTGCTAAAGATGTTGAACACTTTTTCATATATTTATTGATAAATTGTGTTTCTTCTGTGGAGTGCCTTTTCAGTTCCTTAGCTCATTTATTGATTGGGTTATTTGTTTTTTTGCTGTTAAGTTTTTTGAGTTCTTTATATATCCTAGAGATTAATGTTTTATCAGAGTTGCATGTGATAAAGATTTTCTCCCAGGGTGGAGGCTCTCTCTTCATAATATTAGTTGTTTCCTTTGCTGAGAAGAAGCTTTTTAACTTGAATCCATCCCATTTATTGATTCTTATTTTACTTCTTGAGCATTAGGAGTCTTGTTAAGGAAGTCATATCCTACAACGAAGTGGTGAATATTTGGGCCTATTTTTTCAGATGGGTACTAGGAAGGAAGTTGCTAAATATTTCAAACCACTAGTTTCACATTTTTAAATGTTTATGTACATGTAGAGCAAAGAAAAGGCTTTGGAGTTACATAGGCTTGGATTCTTCTTTTCTGTGACATTAGTCAAGTCTCTGCTCCCCTTTTTCTTTATCATTAAAATAGACAAGGAAGACAGCTTATGCAGTCTCTAGAAGTATAAGAATTAAATTTGTAGAACTAAAAATCCTAATATATAGTTGAAAAACAGTAGGTATATGTTTAATACAAGAACTGCCTGTTTCCTAAAAGTTCTATATTTCTTGTGGACAAAAATAGAGCAAAAATTGATTATTAACAGGGACAAGTTTGTCAAAAAATTTCCCTGCTTCTGAATTTATATCTATCTACTTATACAGACCACCAACTTCAACGCTCTCTTCCATCCTTAATAGATGCTAATGTGTTAAAAGAAAATGTGCTTATATGATTCATTCAAATAGAGTGATTCCAATGCTCCTTGTGTAATTTCAAGTCTAGCCAGAATCTCAAAATTTCAATTATCTTAAGAGCTGGTGAGGAAATATTCCCATGTGTGTCACATGAACCCAGAGCTGGCAGAGTTAATGATCTTGTGATTAAGAATTAAGTCTTATAAATTAAAAATTTCTAACAGTTAAGATATAAGGTCATAAGTTAAAATGAGTAAGTGTTGGCATTGACAACTCTTCTTCTTGCAGATTTTTTAAATGCACCTGAACAAGGAAATAAGGGTCTAAGAAAAATAGTGAAGGATTAACACCTTTTTTTTTCCTGGAGAGTTTTGAAATGAATATTATTACCCTTAAGTATTCAGAAGGCTAATATGTATGACCTCATATAAAACCTCCAAAAGTTCAATTGTTACTGTAAATGATATATAATTCAGATACCATTCTTTTGAGGGAGGTATTTTTGAATTTGGAGAGCAATTATAAGAAACTGAATAGTTGTTGCCCTTTAGAACTTTTCTGTGTTCCCATTCCTTCTACTTTCATTCTTGTCCTTTTACATCTTCATTAGAGGAATTTATTATAATTGGACATTTCTAATTAAAATGAAGCCCTCAGAAACAATTGCTTCAGGCACAAGAAAGAAAATGTTAATTTTCAGACTGATGAACAGTATTTTTAAATTACAGAATGATTTTGTGAACTTCCCTACCATGACAACCAGGAGAAATTTACTACGACTGGGGGAAGCTCAAAATATATTATGTGTTTTAAATCATTATATTTGTTTGTACTCAAAAGGATGTGTTTATTGTGATACTCCCATAAATTCATAATGATGTCTAGAAGGGGCTTAATGTTTTATGATGTAGATATTATAACATGCTATAGAATGCCAACTCTGCCCATGGAAAGGGAAGCAATTTATTCAAGAATTTCATGATACCCAAGGATTGAGTGGACCATCTGACTTAGAATCACATCTCTAGCCTCCATCTCTTAACCTTTGCTCCTGTAACTTGTCTTGCTTTGCCTAGATGATGCTTCTCCTTCTGTTTCTTCTTTGCATATGCTATTCTCTCTGCTGAAAACACTCTTTTCCATTCACTGAAAACTCCTCTGTCCACATCACACTATAGTACATAGACTATTCACTTCCTTCTATCTGATATAATGAAAATAAAATGGAATTTGGACTCAGATTGACTTGGGTTTGAACTAAGATGATAACAGGAACACTAATTTTCCACTGAGTCTAAGTTTCCCCATTTGTGAAAGAAAACTAAAAATATCTAGCTCTCATATCTCTAGGGCACATTTCCTGACACCTGTAAGCATTCAAATGTGTTTTATCCCTTTTGTTTATTTCCCTTCTGGTTTCCAGGAGTCCTAGAATTTTCTTCATTAAGATTTATTTTCAGAATTTGTATTAAGGAAACAAAATGAATAAGATGAAAATAACTCAGCACACACAAAAGAATTACCATCAAGTGAAATAGATACTAGTGTACAAAATGCTATAGAAATGATATAGACTGTGATAGGGCTGGGCCAAGCAGGTTTCATAAAGGAGTTGACATTTAAGCAGAATTCTGAAAGGCATTATAAGAAAAGGTAACAGTATGTTCCAAAGCATGCAATCATAAAACATTGTGACATGTTCTGAGAACTGCCAGAAATATATATAGATGGATAGGGCATAGGAAAAATTAATAGTAGAAACACTATTATTTAGGAAGGCAGAAAACCTATCACAAAGGACCTTCTGTAAATGACATAAAAAGAGGGTTTATACTCAATTCTACAGAAAATGAAGAGTCATTGGAGAATTTTTAAGCTGGTGAGTCAGTTGTGGTTTTATAATAAATACCCTAGCAATGATAAGGAAGATGGATTGGGGTGTGTATAAGAAAGTGTGTGTGTAAGTGTATGTGTGTGTAAGTGAATATGTGCCTGCACACATTTCACGAATGAACTTTATTGAGATAAAATTTGCATGCAATAAAATAAATCCATTTTAAATGTACAACTCAATGTTCCAGTGACATGATATAGACTTGTAACCCTCATTACAATTGTAATACAGAACATTTCCACCTCTCTAATCCCTTTGAGCCTCTTTGCAGTCAATTCCCTCCCACCTCTTCTCAACTTCTGGGGATCCCTGATTTGATTTCTATGGTTGGCAGGTTTGCCCTTTTGACTTTTCATGCAAATGGAATCATATAATATGCACATTTTATATTTGGCTTTTTTCATTTAGCATAATGATTCTGAGGCTCATCCACAATTTTGTGTATGTCAGTAGTTTGTTTCTTTTTATTGCTGAACCATTTAAGAATGTCCATTGTATGAATACACCACAATTTGTTGGTACTATTTATCAGTTGATGGACAGGTAGGCTGTTTGGGGGCTTTATGAACAAAGCCACTGTGAATATGCAAAATGGGAGTCTTTGTGTGGACATAAGTTTTTTATTTCTCTTGGGCAAATACCTACAAATGGAATTGCTAGGTCAAAGGGTTGGTGAGGTTGACTTTATAAGAACACAGCTAAACTTTTCTAAAAGGATAATATCATTTTTCACTCTGTCCATAGTGTAAGGGAATTTTCATAGCTATACATCCTGACCCACGTGGTATTTTTCATCTTAAATTGTAGATATTCTTGTGTGTAGTGGTATTTTAGACACCCTCCATTCAGCCTTTGAATATGCTTATGTGTCATCCTTAGATCTTCTATTGTGAAGTGTCTATTCAAATTTTTGTGGTCATTTGAAAAAATGTATTGTTTGTCATTATTTTCCAATTGAAAGAAAAAACAATATATTTTGGATACAAACAGTTCTTTCTCAGGCAAATATTTTGCAAATATTGGCTACTAATGCACTTTTCCTTTCTGGATGATGCATTTTGCAGCATATATTTTGAAATAATTGATAAAATTCAGTTTATTGTTTTTTTTTTTTTTTTTTTACTTTCATTCTATCAACAGAACAAAACAAACAAAAAACAAACAAGCAAAATTGTCTAATCCAATGCCACAAGAATCTTCTAATATGTCCTTTTCTAGAAATTTCACCCTGGGATCAGTTCTTAAATTAAAGGCATGACACATTTTGAGGTAATTTTATATAAAGTGTGAAGTAAGTGATAATATATGGGTTTAGCCTTCTTTTTTTTTCCCCTCTCAAAATCACTCTGGATAGAAGTTAATCCACTTGATTGTTCTATACAATCAGCTTTTGAGGTTATTGATAGATATAGTTTTCTTTTAAACAGGATAAACATATCTATCTTCTCAAATTATTAGAAGCTTAGATTATTGACTACAGATTCATATTTGGTAAATGAACATTGAATGTTTTAAAATTTCTCCCAAGTATTGCTTTATTAGAGTTCCTACAGATTTTATGTGGTAATTTCATATTCATCCTATTATGGTTTGGATATGAAGTGTCCCCCCACCCAACTCCTGTGTTAATACAGGAATATTCAGAGGTCAAATGATTGGATTGTGGGCACTGTATCCTAACCAGTCCATGCTAGTTTGCATGGACTACCTGGTAGTAACTGTAGGCAGATGGGATGTACCTAGAAGAAGTGGGTTACTGGGGATGTGCTCTGTAATGGTTTGTCTTCCCCAGGGCCCCTTACCTCTTTCCCTCTTTCTCTGCTTCCTGGATACCATGTCCTGTTTTCCTCTGCTGTGCTCTTCTGCCATGATATCCTGCTGGGTAACCTTGGGCCCAGAGCAGTGAAACTGACTTACCATGGACTAAATCACTGAAACCATGATCCAAAATAAACTTTCCCTCCTCTAAGTTGTACTAGTTAGATAATTCAATTGTTATGGGCTGATTTGAAAGTTAAGTCAGGCTGACCCCATTCTGCTCTGACATCTCACCCTGTGCAAAATTTGCCCCCCAAATTTGCCCCACTCACATAGAAGCTGACATCTTCACCCTCACCCACTTGCACCCTGACCACAGTGTCTTTAAACTATGGAACAGATATTAGCTTACTTCCTGAGTATGTATAGAAGGTGCCAATTCTGAGAACTTAGTGACACTTTATAAAATGTGTCTTATGACTGTACTTGCCTCTCCCACCCCCTTCCTTAGTACTTTTTTCTGTTTCTAAGTGCCCCCACTCACCCTCATTCAGTGTCTTGGGCTGCAGAACTGTCTAGTTTCTGCTCCCTTGGCTCTGGCCAGAATAAATCCTTTGTCTTTACTTCAAACAGACCTGGAGTTTTATTTGGGATTTTGGAATAGCACCTTAACACAATAACAGCAACACAACTCTAACACACATCCAATTCAAAATATATTATAATTTAGCCTCTTATTTCTTTTTTGACATGCATGTTATCTGGAGTTATGTTGCCTAATTGCCAAATAATTAAGAATTTTCCAGATATTTTTTGTCATTGATATTCTATTAAATTTTGTTGTGTTCAAGAAATATATTCTGCAGGATTTTAACTTTTTTATTGAGATTCGTTTTGTGAACCATAGTATATTCTATTTTGGAATTCTCCAAAATAGAATATACTTTTTGTATATTCTACAAAATAGAATATGCTTTTTGTATACTTGAAGAGTGCTCAATCTGCAGTTGTTTGGTGGAATGCTTTGTCAATGTCAAGCAGGAGAGGTTAGTAGATAATGCTTATGTCTCCTATAACCTTAATAATTTTCTTTCTACTTGTTACTTCAGTTACTGAGAGATGACTGTTGCAGTTTCCAATTTAACTGGTAGGTATGTCTATCTTTTTTTTTTTTTTAACCTTTACCAGTTTTGTTTTCTGTTTTAAAACTCAGTTAATGTTAGTACATTTTTAATTTTTTAAATTTTTAATTAACACAATAATTACAGATATTTATGGGTTAATGTGTAATAATTCAATACTAATCAAATCAGGATAAGAATTCCTTCTCTTTATTTCTTTGTGTTTAGAGCCATCAAACTCCTGTCTTCTAGTTCTTTGTCACGGTTTTGGTATGAGTTGCTCCCCTAAAACCTCAGGTGTTAGGCAATGTAGGAATGTTCAGAAGTAAAATGATTAGATTATGAGAGCTGTAACCTCATTGGTGGATTAATCCATTTGATAGACTGATCAAAGAGACAACTGTAGCAGATGGGGCATGGTTTCTGGAATAATCCCCTGGGACTATATCTTGTCCCTGGCGTGTGTGTGTGTGTGTGTGTTTGTGAGCCCAAAATAAACTTTTTCTTTTCTAGGTTGTTCTTGTCATATCTACTCACAACTATGAAAAGATGAAGAATATAGTCTTCAAAAAATTTTGCCACATACACATCAGATAGACCACTTATCTCCAGGATATAAAAAGAACTCAAAAAACTTAACACCAAAAAAAACAAACAATCCAATCAATAAATGGGCTAAGGAGCTGAACAGACACTTCTCAGAAGAAGATATACATTCAATCAACAAATATGTATAAAAAAAGTTCAACATCTCTAGTAATTAGAGAAATGCAAATCAAAACTACTCTAAGATTTCATCTTATCCCAGTCAGAATGGCAGTTATCAAGAATACAAACAATAATAAATGTTGGAGAGGATGTGGTGGAAAAGGCACACTCATACATTGCTGGTGGGACAGCAAATTGGTGCAACCACTATGGAAAGCAGTATGGAGATTCCTTAGAAAACTGGGAATGGAACCACCATTTGACCCAGATACCACACTCTTTGGTCTGTACCCAAAGGACACTGAGAACTTAGTGACACTTTTAAAAATCAGCATAGTATAGTAACACAGACATATTAGTGTTCATAGGAGCTCAATTCATTATAGCTAAACTGTGGAAGCAACCTAGATGCCCTTCAACAGACGAATGGATAAAGAAACTGTGGTATATATACATAATAGAATATTACTCAGCATTAAAAGAGAATAAAATCATGGCATTCGCTGGTAAATGAATGGAGTTGGAGAATCTTAGGCTAAGTGAAGTAAGCCAATCCCCCAAAAACCAAAGGCCAAGTATTGTCTAAGATAATTGGATGCTAATCCAAAACAGGGAGGGAGGAGGGATGGGGAAAATGGAGGAACTTTGATTGGGCAAAGGAGAGGCGGGGAGAATGGGGAGGATGCATGGGAGGAGGAATGATGGTGGAATGAGATGGACAACATTTCCCTAGGTATGTGTAAGACTGCACATAGGATGTGACACTCATTGTGTACAACCAGAGAAATGAAAAGTTGTGCTGCAAGTGTGTACAATGAATCAAACTACATTTTGCTGCAATATATATACCTGATTAAAATAAATAAATTTAAAAAATATATATAACAGGTTGTAAACTAGTCTCACCTTAGGTGCTGTAGAACACACTAGAACTTATTCCTTTACTAAATTGCATTTTGGTACCCATTATTTAGACTTCCTCCATTCCTCTTTCTTCTGTTCTTTCCAATCTCTAGAAATCACTAATCTACTCTATTGAGATCAACTTAAGGTTGCACAAGTCAAATTTTGCCATTATGAAATATGCCTCTGCCGGATCCAGGAGCCTAAACATGGACGTGCACCTTTGGAACTTCCGGATATGGGGGCCTAAACATGGATGCCTGAGACATTCCAGATCCTGGGGCCTAAACATGGATGCTTGAGGCACTTCCAGATCCAAGGGCCCAAAGATGGACGTGCACCTGAGACATTTCCAGATCCGGGTGCCTAAACATGGCTGTGCACCTTTGGTACTTTTGGATCCAGGGGTCTAAACATGGATGTCTGAGGAACTTCCAGATCCGGGGGCCTAAACTAGACACCCGAGGAACTTCCGGTCCTACAGTCTAAACATGGATGTGCATCTGAGGCACTTCTGGATCCGGGGACCTAAACATGGATGTCTGAGGAACTTCTGGATCCGGGGGCCTAAATATGGACGTACACCTTTGGAACTTCCGCATCTGGGGGCCTAAACATGGATGTCTGAGGAACTTCCGGATCCGGGGGCCTAAACATGGACACTTGAGGCACTTCCGGATCCGAGGGCCTAAACATGGACATGTCTCTGGAACTTCTGGGTCCTTGTGCCTATAAATGGCAGGGCGTGACTCTCAGAAGGGACGTGGTCCATGAAGAGGAGCGGAGCATGGGGCGTGTTGGGGGGCAGACTGAGCTGTCGCACCCTGAACTTGAATGTGACGGTGGCCTCACTTCCCGGCCTTCACCTGGGTGTCACTTCCTCCCCTTCCAGGCAGTGCTGGGGAGGAAGTGAGACCAGGCGCAGGGGCCAGGCCTGAGGAGGGACACTGTCTTTCTCCTCGCTTAGCCAGGCGCCCGGCCTGGCTGGGGACAGGGACGATTTGTGACACTGGCTGCCTCCTGCATCCCTGCCCTAGGACCTCAGGGACCACAGGTGGGGACAGTCGTTGATTCTCCCCTGGCCGCTGACCCTCAGTCCCAGGGTCTGCCCAGGGAGAGCTCTGTCTCCCAGAGGGTCAGGGGGCCCCTGTGACCTGCTGCTCCTTACCCACCATCATCCTGGGCGAGCACAGGTCAGGATACCAGACGCTACTGAGAGTGACATCTCCTAGATGGGCGGCTGGGGACTTTGCCTCTGTCCCCAGGCCTCAGACACCGGAAGATCCCCCCCAGAGACAGAAAATAATCCCACACTGCCCAAGACTTATTTTTAAGCTTTGGATTCTGAAATTTTCCTGCTGCCACCTTCTTTGTGAAGCCAGTTTTTCAACAGAGATAATATTCCAGGGTGGGTGGGGGGACAACAACATGGAGTTAATCAAACCAAGCTGACACATCTGGTCCTCCAAGAGAAATCTGGATTGGAGGGAGAACAGCCATTCTCAACTGGCAAAATAGTGAAGTTCCCTTGTCCTTATTTTGTGTAAGAAAAATGAATAATCCGATGTTAACTCATCAAATTATTTTTGATGAGTGCTTGGCTCATAGGAAAACTGATTCTGTTTTATGGAATGAAGTGTTCCCTGATTTTAAAATTAAAAATGAAGCCAATTAGGATTGTTAAATTACACCATCATAATTCTATTCTTTGATAGCAGAAATAAACAAATCTTTTTTTTTAAAAAAGAAAAGAAATATGCCTCTGATTATGAAATATGTATCTGATAGTATTATGTGTTTGATATATTATGAAATATGTATCTGATTATGAAATATGTATCTGATAATATTCCTTATTCTTAAATATGCTTTATCTTAAGATAATATATCCACTCCTGCTTCTTTGTTGTGTTTTTAGTGTTTGCATGGTATAATTTTTTTCTATCATTTGTCTTTGGTCCTATGCATTTCTCCATACTTATAGTCAGTTTCCTATAGGCAGTAATTGGTTGCATCTCATACTTAAATCCAATCTGACAATCTGCAATTTGGGGAATGTTTATAGCATTTATGACCATTGTAACTATTGATATGGTTGAGTTTTGAACAAGAGTCTTGGTATTTATTTATTTATTTTATTTTATTTTTTTTAAATTTTTTATTGTGGGTTGTTCAAAACATTACAAATTTCTTGACATATCATATTCCACACTTTGATTCAAGTGGGTTATGAACTCCCACCTTCACCCCATACACAGATTGCAGAATCACATCAGTTACACATCCATTGATTTACAAATTGCCATACTAGTGTCTGTTGTGCTCCACTGCCTTTCCCATCCTCCACCCTCCCCCCTCCCCACCTCTCCCCTCCCCTCCCCTCCTCTCTCTCTACCTCCTCCACTGTATAACCCTGAGGGTCTTCTTCCATTACCATGCAATTTCCCTTCTCTCTCCCTTTCCCTCCCACCTCTCATCCCTGTTAAATGTTAATCTTCTTCTCCTGTTCTTCGTCCCTACACTGTTCTTAGTTACTCTCCTTATATCAAAGAAGACATTTGGCATTTGTTTTTTAGGGATTGGCTAGCTTCACTTAGCATAATCTGCTCTAATGCCATCCATTTCCCTGTAAATTCTATGATTTTGTCATTTTTTAATGCAGAGTAATACTCCATTGTGTATAAATGCCACATTTTTTTTATCCATTCGTCTATTGAAGGGCATCTAGGTTGGTTCCACAGTCTTGCTATTGTGAACTGTGCTGCTATGAACATCGATGTAGCAGTGTCCCTGTAGCATGCTCTTTTTAGGTCTTTAGGGAATAGACCAAGAAGGGGAATAGCTGGGTCAAATGGTGGCTCCATTCCCAGCTTTCCAAGAAATCTCCATACTGCTTTCCAAATTGGCTGCACCAATCTGCAGTCCCACCAGCAATGTACAAGTGTACCCTTTTCCCCACATCCTCGCCAGCACTTGTTGTTGTTTGACTTCCTAATGGCTGACAATCTTACTGGAGTGAGATGGTATCTTAGGGTGGTTTTGATTTGCATTTCTCTGACAGCTAGAGATGTTGAGCATTTTTTCATGTACTTGTTGATTGACTGTATGTCCTCCTCTGAGAAGTGTCTGTTCAGGTCCTTGGCCCATTTGTTGATTGGGTTGTTTGTTTTCTTATTGTCTAATTTTTTGAGTTCTTTGTATACTCTGGATATTAGGGCTCTATCTGAAGTGTGAGGAGTAAAGATTTGTTCCCAGGGTGTAGGCTCCCTATTTACCTCTCTTATTGTTTCTTTTGCTGAGAAAAAACTTTTTAGTTTGAGTAAGTCCCATTTGTTGATTCTAGTTATTAACTTTTGTGCTATGGGTGTCCTATTGAGGAATTTGGAGCCCGACCCCACCGACTGTAGATCGTAGC